TCATAAAACACATTGAAGACGCGTTTTGTTGTCTCGGTGGACTTGAAAACGTCCAGTTATGGACGGCGAATATCATTCGGTTCAGACAGAGCATATAAACAAATGTGTTACAAGAGTGTAAAAAAAAAAAAGTAAATTACAGACCAGTAATTCACAGAATCCGGTTGTATCGAACAAATAAAATAGAAGAAATACGATTATATCATTATTATGTATGTCAAAAAGTAGTAAACAGGTCTCTTGTCGACAATTTAACTTGTCTCAGATCTGCACATCAACTATACTCATGGGTGGTCTACGCACAGATGCGATGTGAGATATGTGACCTCCAATTCTAATTGTAGTGTAGTAGTTTATATTTTCACAAGTCCGTTTACTCAAAATGTGAATGAGAGCAGTGAAATCGGGGGGAGAGGCGGAATATCTTTAATATAAAAAAACCAACAAATGTTAAACCAATACCTAATTAATATAAAATATCCCATGTGGCTTTAGCACGGATTAAATAAAACCAAATAGTACACTCTACGTTAATCAACTACTTGTTATCAGTTTAATCTATAATTTGTAAAACTAACCTAACCAAACCTAACCTAACCACACCTAACCTAACCAAACCTAATCTAACCAAACCTAAACCTAACCTAACCACACCTAACCTAACCTAACCTAACCAAACCTAACACCTAACCTAACCTAACCTAACCTAACCAATCAAATATCGTTATTTGAAAATCTATTGTTATACTGCGAAGAGCACTATATGGTTTTATTCATGCTGTCGGTTTAAACTAAAATTTGCTTGCTTATAATCAACAATGCCCTATGATGTAAAGCAAGATAGTTGACACGTTTTTATCATGAAAAACCACTTGAAACGCCAGAACGCTGTTAGAAGTACAAAAACGATATCGCTCATTGCACATCATTCGAACGATTGCTCGATTACTTTGTAATTGATATAGTGATATATTTCCGAGTAGATCAAATAAATCGAAGATCAGTAAAAACAATGGATTGTTTTGAAATTGTATTGTGGACCTGTAGGTAATAATATTATGTACTTATAGTGTCATTGTTTTATCCCGCACCGGCCTATGATTACCGACGTTGATACGATTCATATAATACTATATCCGTATTGCGGTAAAACCGCAGGGCTCGTGCCGTGTTGCAATGTAGCAGAACACCGCTATATCATTCCCATACATATATTTAATATTGGATTTTTATAATAATATTATACCGCTGTTTGTGTACCGAAGGTTTTACACGGGCACTCGTGACCGGTCCAGAACACGCACTCGCACTTGGCCATAGCCCTACAAGCGGTTTCCAAAGCGATTTAATGTGTATCGTCCCCTCTGGGCCAACCCATATTACTACACCACCTGTGTGTAATATGTGCAGGTCTTCGGTATCGCAAATGAACTCTTTTTGGGTCATATGTAGTACATGATATCCAATAATATCGATCTTAGATCGAACACAATAATTTGCACGAGCATGCACGATTTTAGTTTTGTCTCGTTTAAAAACAGTACACTCGAGTGTGGCAAGAATCAAATTAAAAAAAATATATACAGAGTGTGTATCAAAAATCGCTGTAATGTTTTTAATATATGTTTAAAAAAGAAGTATCAACGCAGCCAGTCAAAACGAGGAATGGGATTTGAAAAAATATTTTAGTAAATATAATACCAAACACATTGTTACGAGTGACAAAACGGATAAATAATAATAATATGATTGTTGTGTCAACTAAATGCGTGTCGAACGACCAGGATTTATTGACACGCGTTAAAGTCTCCGTTTGGATTACAAACCATAAGACGCGTATTGCATTGTAATCAAATAAATTAATAAAAAGAACTGAATTTGACAACTTTTTACCCAAAATGTATAATATGTGAATCTGTCAAATCCACTTGACCCGAACACCATCACTGTGACCAACGGTCTACTGAACATTCGTCGTTCCAATGTTGTTTTAGTACAGCTGTATAATTGGCTAAGAAAACAAACCGTAGCAGAATAGCTGATATTAAGATTATGTCGCTGATTCGAGATTAGATACAACCCGGCCGTTGTTAGGTAATCCCTAACAATCGTTATGCGCTTTCGTGGAGCAACGCTGGCAAAAACAAAATGCACAGTTTTGCTATATTGTATTGTTTCAGAATCCGCAAGAGTGATTACAGAGTGAGTTTGTGAACGCTGAACTGTAATCATTTTACTATTTTAAGCATAAATCATTGTTGCATACCCCCCGCGTGACACTAATTGGGCCCGAAGACTGAAGTTTATGATAAGGTGGCATAATAATTAAAAATATTTAAAATATGCATTAGTTACATAATATGGTTAGCATACTAAACATAGTTTTATTTAATTTAAATTTAATAATAACTAACAACATTAATGAACATATTATATTACATTAAATAACAAATACATTATAGTTTTTCAGCTATAACAGTACAGACGAACCCCAGAAATGTTCACCTCAAACAAGGAATATCCTTTTGTTGATAACGGAATTCGTTGAAAAAGTAAATGTAACATTGTTGGAATGGCTGAAAAATAGTTTTGTAGGTGAACGACGTTTGGTGCAGGTATATCTCCGACCACATTAGTCACACCCTAGGCTTCTAATATAATATATATATATATATGTTTTTCAGTGACATAGGTAGCTCTAAACCCATCAACCTACACTACAAATAAAGGTTATTGGAATTAGGCCATCAATGATGACGGTGAACGCGGTTACTATACTAAAAATGCAATCGGTGCAACTGAAAATCTGATTTGTTGGCAAAAACGACGCGTTACACCATTCGTTGAATCTGTTGGCCAATTTTGGACTTTCTTTAAAACCGCCCTCACACAACATAATAATACAAGGAACATGGCCAAACAATAACCGACACGAACACATGACCCGTTTTCTTGTGTGTGTGTGTGTGTTTGTGTGCTATATGATCTCGTGTATGTGTATAGGAAAAAAAAAACATAAATATATAATTATAAAAAAATTAGCAATGCGTGCGCTGCCGCCTCGGACTACCTGACAAAAGAACAGCAGATCGTGACTAGATGCTTCATTACCATTTGGATTGTTCACTATATATTATATACAGTTATAACTTGTAGAGCACACGGGTGCAATACCGTCTGCTGCTGGGAATCTAGTTGTTTATCTCGGGAACCTCCCACAGGCAGCTTAATAATAAAACAAAAATATCTATTTACTATGGTAGTCTATTGTCTATGTTGAAAAAAAAAACGTGTCAAACAAAATACGGTTTTGACGGAAAAATAAACCGTGTCTGCATTTAATTATGAGTAATTCAACAACGGTAAGTGTATCTAAGGTACATCTAAGAGGCGCGCGGTGCCCAAAATCAAACCGAAACAAATTATATTACCTATTATTATTATTATTATTATTATTACTACTATACGGTAATGGTCAAACCAAACCGTAGGTAAACGGACATGGTCTGTCAGATATGTGGGCTCTTCATAGACCCAAAACAATTATAACATCATGTCTAATTATTACTATTAGCACACTGATGAAATAAAACCAGATAGTGCACTATAAAAAATGATCCTTTGTATTGTACAGTGTTATCTGTTATCACCGTCGACCATCGTTTCATATCAACTACTTGTTATCAGTATTTCTTATCAGTTGGCGTTCTTATTGTAAATGGCGTGTACAATATTTTTGGCACTACAAAAAAATCGTTATTTGAAAACCGATTGTTTTATCATATTATGAAGTGCACTATTTGGTTTTATTTAATCTGTGCTATTAGTGGAATATGGGCAATGGCAACGTTTAAATATCAGCTGGTAAGTATCTAGGTATATCATTGTATACAATTGTTTAATATCCTTATAGTAAGTCATAGACTGTATAAATTATATACAAATTGAATACAAGAAAGTCAGGAAGAAATATCTCTAACTAAAATATAATTTTTTACAATTTGTTTTTTATATAAATCCAAAGCGAGTTGACAAACGAATTAAATAAACACGGAGACCGTTTCTTAAGTATATATATATTTCACTACGGAACACTCTTGAGTATTATTCAACAGTAAAAAATTGAAACTAAGAAAGAAAGTTGTAAGAAAAAAAAAATAAAATGTGTAGCACGTTTTTTTTTTTAATCTATATAATATTAAGTAAGTGAAATGACCGTTGGGTTCCACTGTACTGTGCTCTATACTTAATTGTAACGTTTTTCGCTATTTTTTTCCCCTATCAATTCTGTCTTCCGTGACTGATTCGAATTGGTGATTTATCGTAGAAGTGTTCTGTCATAGAGAAAGCAATATAACAAATTTAATAATGATAATTATCACTTACATTGATTACATACGACGTATTAATAGTATCTTGCACGCTGACGAGTTTCGTTGTTGTAAGTAATAATATAATAATAATGACTTTCCATTACATTTTTTTTTACCTTATAATTTGTATAATTACACTGGCCTTAAATTAACATTCCTTAAGATAATGTACAAAACTGTTTTGAAATTCTCAGTTTTTAGCATTTAATATTTGATCTCTCGTCTAGCGCAATAAAACTAATTAAAGTTTTTAGTTAAACGTTAACAAAACAAACATATGTGTAATTGTAATTATTATATTATGTCTATAATTGGTCTAATTAACTATAGTTTGGATACCTAACATATATTGTTTTAATAAGATTTCTCTAATAAGTTTATCAACAGAATACGTTGAAACATGTACTTTTAAAACTATAAAATAACGTGTAACTAAGTTTCCCTCGATAGGTACGCATAAAAATAACATTGGTTTTGGGACATTAATTTTGTTTGTAATCTAAAATTGAGTTGTTAAAAAATTGAATTGTAAACATAGTAAATATTCGCAGACCAAACTATCTCAATGGTACTCAATTATTATTATACTTCATAATAGATTTTTACTTAAAACAATGTTCTTCTTACCTTGGCTCCTGACTTTCCCAAACCATATCGCGATGAATACCCCAACAAGTAAGCATCCTATGGTTTTCGTAGGCATTCTATACACAATAGTAACATTCCTGCATCTACCTGAAATTATTTAAACACAAGTCAAGTAAATATAGCAACATAAAATGAGAATAAAGAGTCGCAATAATTATTAATCAGTGACAAGGTGTCAACAACCAGATTTATTCTAATATTGCCAAAGAACCAAGTATAATGTTTAACGAGGACTCAAACAGTAAAACTGCAATTTGTATGTGTTGTTTTATTACAATAAAAGTAAGTACACAAGTTAAGCCTGTTCGGTGAACTACTGACCTATAGCAGAATCGATTCAAATTGTGTGTAACAATATTATCGTTTGTTTGCGCTTTGTTCTTTAGGTACATCTCAAACTTGATGGGTAGACATTATTACATTGTCACGCAACACTTGTACACCGATTTGATTATTATAAGTTTACATATTTTGCGCTGAATTAGGTCACACCTTTGTCTAAGCGTAAAAAAAATTTAAAATAATCTATGATAATTTTTTAGACACCCGCAAATTGTATACATTTTTTAGCTAAAAAAAAAAAAAAAGTAGAGCAATCGACAGATACATATTCGGTGTATTTTAATGCATTAATTCACGCAGAGTGTACAATCAAGTTATGTTGTGTTAATCATAAGTATTTTTCGTGGTATTTATACCACAATAACGGACCTTATGATGGTTTTGTAACTGTACACAAGTGTCATAAGTGTACACACACGGTACACTTATGACGCGGTCTGTCGTGGTAGTAATTATAGTTGTCACACTAGACGTTAGACTGTCGCTTCTTTTTTGCGGTACAAACGAGATAAAAAAAAATATATATATAATAATAGACTGCGCAAAATTAAACATAGGTATACGACATATTGTCCTAGCACTTCGATCCAATTATGTCCTGTTAAAGTCATTCCACACACGTACAGTGAAAAATAATGTGTGAACAAAATTATTACATTATTATATAGCTTGAACGATTTTTACCAGGTACACTCAAAGAGTAATATTTTATTGATTAATTGGATAAATTAAGAGAGTATATTTAAAAATTGAATATATTTGCCATTATAGTTAATCTAACGAGCAGTTTACGTTATTTGTAACATTTTTAGCTTTTAATCTTGACAAGAAGCTGACATGTGCTTTAAATGGGTTTTCTTCGTTTTTATACCATTCTAACAGCTTTATTGTCTAAAATACAAACATATACATGTCTAAGACGTTTGATTGTCGTTTCCATACCACGGGTGAGACACGGTTCGGGTGTTTGTATTAGCTGATTGATTTTTCAATAGTGTTTCTTAATAATTATAGAAATAAATAGTTATAAGCTAATAATATTTCAAATGTGTTGTGTCATTGTACTTTACATTTAGTTTATATTACATATTACTAATTATGTTAATCAAACGTAGGTAAAGTCAATTCAACCAAATCGCTGCAGTTGTTAACAACACGAATAGAATAGGAAGGTAAGTATTAGAAGAGGCATGTCATTAAAATACCTATTACCGCATAAAAAAAAAATACTAGGCCGTTAAACAATAATAATTAATAACCGTCAGAGCGTATTCGATTATTCCAGAATGTTAATATTATTACCTCACGATTCGTAAATAACATTTATTATTAATAATATATTACTATAAGAACGACCTTTCGAGTAGTTACGACTTACTCTTAAAATTGTCTTGTATACATTTCAATAAGCAGCGGGTTATGTAAAACATATTACACAGGTGTGTCCATCAAGTATATTTCAAAACAAACGGCAATACCTAGTAGTTATTGATCAATATCCAATATTATGATAGTAATAATTATATGCCAAATGATGATGACTGTGAATAAGGCGTACTAAGCAAGTTACATATAGTGTCAAGATACTACTCTCAAGATGGCTAATGTACACCGTATTATGCACATTGCAGCTGTGCAATAAATTGGTTATTTAAAATTGTCGATAAAATCTGGAACAATTATTACAAGTACACCGATTGATACGATAGAGCTGCAATTAACGTGGAACAAATTATTTCCTGTCATGTGAACGAAAAACTAGGCCAAACTATTTCTATGGCATATACTTACGGTACACAGAGAGCAATCTAAAGGTGTAGGAATTGATTTTGTGTAGAAAATGAATGTATTAAAAAAATAAGCGTCTTAAACAAAATTCACTATGCCACGTTTATAACTTGACTGTTAATTATTAAATAACGTTGTATTCTACTTGAGGTCGTACTTGACATATTATTATTTAATCAATTGGCGTTGCAATTGGCTTGATTTTTAAGTTTTTGTTCGCACGCGTCAGGTTATAAATTATAATTTAAACAGTTTAACGATTTATTATCCACAATGGCTTGTGTGTCAATGCAATATAGTGTGTAACGGAGACCGATTGAGATGGGACAAAAGCGAGGTGCTTAGACGGTTTAGACGGTAGTTGATTTAAGGTGGGTATTTTTTTTTTAATGTTTCAGGAAGTCAACGTAAAAATGATTGATGACCTGGGGCGCTGAAATAATTCCTAAATACATCTGTGCTCATCCTGTACATCCGCCGCACACCGAGTTTTTTTTATTTTTGAATACATCTAATCTACCACCATTGTAATACTTGTAGCGAATTTAATGCTTCGTTTATTACCTTAACTAACGGCGATTATACCACATTATTATTATGCATCATTGTATCATAAATATCGTTGTTACACTAACGCAAACATCGATTATTCGGAAAACACACCGTGAATACCTATTATTATTATTATTATTATTATTGTATGTACCTATGTGCTGACACGCTGAACATACAATGTGATACCTATGTCCTGTAGGACATACTAAAAGTATATTACCTACTATCATTATTCATTACTATCACTATGGACCGTGCGTGTGTGTGTATGTGATGAAAATTCATACCTATACAGCAACAGAGTTAACCTATATATATATATATATATATATATAGAGAGAGAATCAGACGCAGGATTAAAGAGAGTAGAAATCATACATTGTAAATAATATCCGTTGTGTGTGACGTACAGGCGAAATTGATACACTTACAATGAGCGCCCATCGACAATGGTAATCAAGAGGCTGTAATTTAATAACAACACTTGAAACGATAATGACAATATAGGTATGGGCGAAAAACGTTTGCTTTCACCGGCTTCGCCCTTTTGTGTTCGCGCAACATTCACAAACAAAAAAAAAATACAATAATAATAATAATAATATATAGTTTAATGAACATTACCGGCTACGGCCTGCGGATATTTGAACACAAACCCGGGCAAAAAGGACGCTCTAAATATTATAATTTATGGTACAGTGTGTGTGTGTGTGTGTTTACAACAAAGGAGGTGATGACACATCCGGGATTGCTTAAATTTGTTACGGTTAAATTCGTCAAACTTGTGTAGCTATAACACAATATATATAATATGCACTTGGCAAACTTAATGGTACACATGAGATTGTGTACAAGATTATATTATAGCACATTGAACTTTGTCTTTATCCGATGCACACCAATGAGAATTATATTATATTATTATAAGAACATAATATCAATCCAAACACATCAAATTCCTTATATTGAAGTTTGTGAGTACACAATAAAACAGTCTGGTTTTAAAAATGTTCTTCGAAATCAACGAGGAGAGGGTTGTTGTCATTCTTACTTTTCCTTTTCAATGTCAACTAATTAATATTATATAGATATGACTTCTACAACTATTAAATTCTATAGCATCAATCGCACCGCTAAATTATCAATATATTTAAATGTATTTATATTAAAAAAAAAAATAATAACTAAATTTTTATCATATTTTACGTTATGCAGACGACGTTTAAGCTTGATTTTTTCCTCGTTTAAATTCTGCTCGCACGAACACCACCAAACAACGCCAGTGAAGCGAGAAAAATGATTATCCGTTGGTTTTCATAACTGTAACAGGGCAAATATTTCAAGCTCAAGACCTAACCTATCAAAAAAATATCAGTTCTGATACTCATCAGGAAAAAAAACACATGGTCCTTGTACGCACTTATTAAGGCAATTATAATTCGTTTATCAGACCACATGATGATATTCGTCGGGTATGTTTAAAACTAGAAAATTATTTTTGTAAAATATACATACAAATATCGTTTACATTGAATTAACGTTTAAACGATAATACCCTACTTGCCATTGTTTGAAACACATACAACAAATTGTGTACAACGTAATTTTCGGGGCGGTTACGCCTGACAGAGCACAACACATTAACATAGGTACTCGTTTTTAATGAATACACCACAGTTTATTATGCATTCAGGTGGTCGAGGAATGGCTGCAACCGAAATGGTTAAAATTAATTCGTCCAAACGCAGTCAATCTGCGCAATAGCAATAATACAGCTAAAACTGTACAAAATGTCATGACGGTAATTTTTTTCATCAGAAAAACATGTACTGCAAATTTTAACTAGATCGAACCAATTTTATGAGCTATAAAAATTGAGTGAAAAATTATTAAACCGAAAATTAAATCCATTATAGCTTTTTTTTTTTGATGACATGAAAAGTCTCATTAATTTTAACATGAGATAATATTATGTTAATGGGCTGGATACAAGAAATTTCACCTTACACTATCACATTCAGCTAGAGATAAGAGACAAAATATAAGTGATAAGAGATAACATGTCAACGATTAATTGTTTTTTTTTCGGTGGAGCTGAGAAAATAACAAGGTGTTTTGCTATTCTTGAAGAATACGTTGGCAATTAATTGATTGTCCAGATAAAATATATTCTAATGGTAAGGTAATTATTTTCAAAAAAACTTTTGTCCGAAGTGCTTACATCAACAACAATCAACGTAGTTTTTTTTTTTAACCCATAGAACACGTCCTATTTTCTCGACCTCCGGCCTTACAAGGCATTATATACTAGTCATTGAGGGAGTTTCCGTATGCTGTCTAAAAAAACTGATTAGACATGCTTAATGAGCCGTAAAACCATAATGATAATTAGTCGAATCATGTATAAAATATGTGAGCGAAACAACAATTGCATTACAATGTAATTGTTCGCAAACCCATCCTATCAAACGCTAATATCCGCCTACACTATAACAACGCCAAATAATAAATGTACCTTGTAGGTGATTAAAGTAGTTAGTACTTGTCTTAGAATTATTCTAGGCGTAGCGTACTAGATCCAAAAGTATAGACACCCAATTTGGTTGGGGGAGTATTTTGTATGTTTGAAATTATACTTTTCTACCTTACAATAAGAATTATCAATATGTTGTTCGCGGAACCGTTAGTTATATTCATTTGTTAATTACAAAGCTTTTTTTTTTATAAAAATTATCGTTAATTAATAGACATCCGCAATATTAGTTTATTAAGAAAATCGTTATATAACATTATACGTCATAGTGTACACATTGGTATATAATTTCGGAATACAACAATATTTACGTTCAGTGAATTTCCGGCGGTTTTATTTCTTTCGAGAGACCTAATTTTTTGTAGTAATTATTGACGACGTTGCTTATGATGTTTTCGACTTCTAATCGGGCTTGTTCAATGGTACACGCCGGACGCACACTCGTCGCCTTCGTCTGAGTTTCGCTTGTGTTTGGCGTTGGTAGCATTACGCAATTTTCGTTTGTGAAATCAATCAATTTGCTTACGACAAATTTGTTGAAATATCTTTCCAACGCTTTGGGAATTTTCGAAATGCCCGAATTGTATTCATTACGGTTCTCGTTGTTGTAATGTCTTAACGTTCGCTTCGCGTTGCGGACCAGCAAGACACTGCTCTTTATAAGCTCTACATCGTTTGAATCCAACGGGCCTCCGTATAATTTAGTCAACGACTCGTCTAGAAAACTTAACGCGTCGGTCATACAGTCGTACATGGCGTGGCTGTTTTCTATTTGACCTATCGCCAAGTCGAGCACATGCCAAAATCTGTGATAGCTCGACGGGTATGATTCAGTTTTCCTCCTCCGACGTTTTGTCTCGTGGCTTTTTTGGTAATACTTTAGGCAACGGTGTCTGTTACACACACGTTTTGCTTCACGCGAGCTTTCGCGCAGGATAAACACAACGAAGGATAAATGATCTAAGATAGCCTTGGCGTACACGCATTCGATCAATCGAGCCGTCATCGAGTATGTATCGTTGACATTTTCGTCGGTCACGTAGAAACCGTCGGGTTCTTCGATGGGTACAAACAGATCAATGCCGGAAAATGAATTTGCCGCGCATATGTGTTTGCCTCCGATATGGTCCAACGACTTCCATCCAGGATGGCTCAGTATGCAGTTGATTCTGAAAATTAGATCTTCATTGTCGGTACACGATATCATCAACATTTGCCGATTACTGATTATTATGATTAACAACATCATAAGGCCGCCATTTGGCACGTTGTAAAACATTTTATTTCAATGCTACTTTATTGTTCCTTGTTGGTTTCAAAACAAAAACCACTATGTTTGGTTATAATCCTACGTTAACTGAAACTACTCAAGATTGCTGCCTATATCGTGCAAACATGTTTTAAATCGCAAATAAATGCATATTGTACACCTTAAGTAAACTGAATATAACTGTGTATTTCATTGCCATTGTTTATTTAAAGAGATATTTTGTTTTGCCCGGGAGCGAATACCTAAGGAGGTTTTTAGTTTTACAATCATATGTAAATAATGCTTGCATATTTTAAAGTCTGTAAAAAAATAGGTATTCTTTAATTTATCTGTTTCGCACAATATTTCTACATATTATACACATGTTTATTAGTAATGTATTTTTCTTTATTTTTGCACTCATTATGTATTATGTATAATACTTAAAATATATACTACGGGGTAATGTATAAGTAAAATTATTGAATATCCTATTTTTGATCTTGCCTATTATGTGGTTAAAACAAAAACCCAAAGGAGTTATATTAAAAAAATAGACAATGAATTATTATTGTTCTCATTTTCATTCCAAAATTATACTTCTATTCTAAACCAACACATTTCTTACGTTATTATCTTTAGTTATTTTATAGCCGTTGGCAACCGTTTGATAATAAGTGTAAAAAGTGAGTTTCTTAGATAGGAATTAGTTGGGCTTAATTTAACAATAAGTCAGCCACATTAAAATATTTAATTTTGTGTAGATTAAGTGGACTAATACATTTCTGGCCCTCGACTTCCTTTAACTTCAGATTTTGGTAAGCTATAATTGTATTACCAGTAAAATCTAAATATTATTTAAATCGAATGACAGTCAGTAGTATTGTAAATAGTAGTAGGAATCATTCAAATATTTAAAAAAATGAGTTTAATTATTCTGGTTTAAGTTTTAAGGTCTAAAAATTAGACTGAATGTAGATCTATACTGGAGCTATATTATGTTAAATTTCTTAGGTTACTATGTGAGCGCAAATCAACAGTCAACAAGTATTGTTAATTAGTAATTATGATTTATGGGCAACAAATTATTATAAATAAACGACCATGCCTAATCGTATCTACCCAAAAGCCTACAACAACACCATTACAACTATTTATGTGTAATTTAAATTGCGATTAAACAATTTTTAATAGATGAATGCTCAATACATTGACAGTAATTTTCACAACAAAGATTAGTTATAAGACTACAAACCAAGTAAAGGTAAAATCGCTTAATTAAAAAAAAAAAAAAATATGTCTTGATATTATCGCTAGAGGTTTATTATTCATTTATATTTTTATTATCAAACAATCTCCGTGTAATCTACCTATGAATTCTGGGACAAAACTAATTTGTATACCTATCATATAGATGTCTTATGGGTTTCACATTGTTTGAAATATAATTAGGTTTATTGAACTAAAAAAGATATCTATTAACGGCAATATTAAACACCGGATCTTATTGAATAGCTATGAAACATGTTGAAACAAAACACAACACTATTTAAGATCTTAAGCACTTGTTCTATTATTCAAAACCACATGTTGCCCAACGGTCATCACCGGCATCTTTTTATGACCTTATTATTCATTTTTTTTTTTAGTAACCACTATCCTGTCGGCATGTAGACTTTCTTGATTTCTAGTTTTGGAAAATTATTTAAAATATATTTTTTATTATTAAGCAATTAATTGCAATAGGATGACAATTTAGGGGGGGAAATGTGTTTTTATGATATACAATTTTTAAATTAGTGTATAGTGAATGAAATATATCAGATTAAGTTCTGAAACTCTTCAATGCACTTCGACATGCCAAGGTGATTCTAATAAGACCATAAAATATAACAAAATCCTTTCATCGGTTTCAGAGACCTTAATGATCTTATCGTGTTAATATTCTATCTCTTATAGTTTAAAAGAAAATTGAGAGTTAAAGAGAGTTAAGAGAGATTTTAAAAGAAGATGTATGGGTATAAAATTCGATCTACTTGTATATTATTATCTTATAATAATGTTAAGAAAAAAATCTTCTCACTATTAGCGTAAAGCGTTTTTTTTCTATTTACAACAAGCTCTTAAAGTTGTCAACACCAATTTTTTTTTTTTATTTCCATGGCAGTATTTACTTGATTTTTTTCAAAATCAATTAAGTGAAAAACACATTTTTTTAAGTACCTACGTTATTGTCAAGGACACTAGGATAGTGTGATGAAAAAAACTGTGTAGAAAAAAACTTCTGATCGACTCACCAACGTGTTACCATCCGGTCTCCTTTGTATCGTGTGTCCCTTGCCACAGATTTCCTGCAGATTTCAGACAAATGTAAGTATCCAAATGGGAACTATTGCAACTGACCGACAGACCGGCGAACGGACATTTCGCGAAGACCGACAAGAACAAGACACAGACAACGAGTGATATTATGCAAACTTAACGACGATTTGCGCGGGTAATCGCACGGAATAATGTTTATTATTATTTTCTACCGAGCTGATAATAATTATAGCAGTAAAACACACTGTTGTCGGGACAATGAGAACGAACACGGTAAAAACACACGGTACAATAATAATAATGCACTGCCGCCGGGTCGCGCAACTGCAAGTCGATGACTACTGCCGGGCTCGTGGTACGGTCGACGGCTATATGCATGGTGCGTGACCACACCGCCGTCGGTAGGTACCTCCTCTCGGTTTGGCTTCATACACCTGTCGGAGGGGTCCGACCTGCCGGCCCCGAAGACCCAGGTAACCGTTCACAGTGGTGAATAATAAATAATAATAATAATAATTTCTATAATCCGAAACGATATAGTCATTGGTTTTTTTTTTTATGATTTTTAATTGTGTTATATTGTTGTGTTTGGACGAAGCCGTCGCGGTGGTCCCTCGAAAGCGCTGGTCGCTTCCCACTGAATTTCCATAATATTATTATCTACAACCAATCGCGTCGCCCTCGGGTGTTAGAAGTACTCTATTGTTTTAAAACGCAGAACAACTAATATTATCCATATTTTATTATTGTCCAAACAGCGGTGGCGGCGGCGGCTGTGACCGTAAACATAATATGTATTTTATACATACTACGGATACTTTTGATCTACTCGAAAACCGTGCCTGTTTAAAAAAACGACCTAGTTATTTTCTCCGCTTTAAGGAAAACAATTCCATCACGGATGTGTTTTTGCGGTTTATTGCAGTAAAAATATCACTTGTCTCTCATTTCTTATCAATTATCTCCTATACGCTCATGTCTTATTTCGTATCTCTTATCTCTAATTTATCATGTCTTATCTCTAATCACTCATCACTTATTTCGTACCAATCATCTACTATCTCTTATTTCTAATCACATATCTTATATCTTATCAATTATCTCCTATCACTCATGTCTTATTTCGTATATCTTATCTCTAATCACTTATCGCTTACTTCGTATCCATTATCTCCTATAACTCATGTCTTATCATCACAGATATATATATATAATAAACTAGATTGCTGTAAATGCCACCAATAGTGAAGATTGAAGCTGCCACTTTCCGCCATCTTAGTGGGAACTAGACCCTTATCACGTGAGAATAATATACGTTTATAACAATCACAGATATATATACAATATTGATATAATAATATGTACACACATATATATAATATGCATTGATAACACACATAAATCCCACCAGAACGGCGGACCGTCGGCTTCAATTCTTATCGCTAGTTAGCAATCTAGTTTATTATATATATATATATCTGCGCTAATCATTTATCTCTTATCATATATCTTATCTCTTATTTCTAATCCTTATCACGCATTTCTTATCAATTATCTCTTATCACTTACATTTTATCTCTTAGCGTAATGCGAAAATTGCGACATGAAATTTTATTGTATCCAGCTCAATAACATAACCATATTATACAATTGAATATTTTGAAAAACACTTTTTTAGACAAGGCACTTTTCGCAAAACGCTAAATCAATAACCGCATAACAATTTGTGTACATTATATATAATTATTCCTTCAAGGATATCGATAGCATCGTTGATAACAAACATTAACGTCTAAAAAATAAAAAATAAAATAATTTCATATATTAACGTCTGTATATATTATTACTAACTAGTAGTTTTCACTAAGCCCCGGGTTATAGAGCACCTTGCGATTTTATATAGTAATAGGGTTTAATATATGTTTTATTTATTTAAACGTACAATATAAATCAGTTGTATTGGATATAAAAAAGAAAGTTACGTCGAAAATGGTGATAATCATTTAAGCGTGTAATAATGACCCGAAATTAGGCGCAAGTATTGATCGTACAAAGATGTTTCATTTCTAACTGTAACAGTAACAAGGTGTAAGTCTTTGAGAGACGATTAAAGATAAAATAGAATCGATTTTTTATAATATTTTATTTGTAGAATTAAAATCAATTGTTAATAAATAAGTGTTACAAAATAAGGATCCAAGCAGAGCAAATTGTTCTAGTGCTTATTATGTGGTATCTTTTCTTTTGGCAGGAGTAATTTTATTCACTTGGAGGTTAATATTGGTAACTCGTTTAGATATTATTTTAATTTAAATGACCCTAACCGCACTTAACTTCCCGTCTTAAATTAAAAACTTTAATGACGAAAAAAAGTGAATTTTCTAAAATTGCTTATCGACCAGTCAACATTTCACATACATTTTTCTCAAGGGGCATTTACACTAGAATTTATTAAGGCGCGTTGTATAGGCAACTTTTCACTAAAATTTAACATTAACCTAACATATTTAAACATACATACTACGTTTTTTTTAACAAAAAATTCAAAGAGCAATTAATGACATTAGTTAGATTGTGCATTTTTTTCTTCTGATTTGAATTTACCTAAAAATGTTTTTTACAGGGCACTAACTTGAACTTTAAATTTCTATAACTTTGTAGTGTAATAGTATGTAGATTTTTATTCTGTGTTTTCTGCATAAACACATAAGTCATGAATAATTCAATGTAAAACTCTAATAGTTTTTCTTTCTTGTGATATATTCATTGTTTGTAGAATGTTCCACATATATCAGCTGTTTTCACTTGTTTACATTGCTAAAGGCGTTGTAAACTATTTTGTTAAAAAGTAAAAAAGAATTTAACGTTTGGTTTAATAAAAAAAACTGCTATAAATCTTAGCTTAGGTGTGACCAACAAATTTTAAACTGAACATTTTCCTATTAATTTTCCTAATGTTGTTTATTTTTCCAACATGCACCTAATGTATCAAACAGAATGAACATAAATATATTATTTTTTTTAATTCAAGGCCCATGCTTTTTAATCTTGGTTAATTGAACAAAGAGTAATTTTATGTATACATTTATGCTAAGGTTAATACATTTAGATTTCATATTGAATAATATTTTATTCGTGTATACAACCCGTAACGTTAAATGTAACAACTTAAAGCGAAATTTGTAAAATACTACCACAGTAAGTGAAAATATCATGTAAGCCCGTGTGCACAGGTGAACAGCCAATGCACAATACACATTGAATTTGAAAAACAAAATCAACCGCTTGAGTTCTAAACGACGTTACAATTAGTTTTCATATAATATTCGCTTTATGCGATTTTGTGATGTATATATTCTATACTATACCATTCCTGTGTCTAGATTTGAACGAGCACCAATAAAAATCTTGTTTGATTAGTGAGAAACCATTGTCCAAAAACAAAGTACTTTGTACTATTTATTTTGTAATAAATTAATTACATTGACACAGGCATCGTGCAATATGCTGTCCATAATGTTAAAATTTGTTCAATTACGTAACTTGAAAAAAAATACAGTGATGTAAAAAGCCCACAATAACCAAAACTATCTTGGACCATCCTAAGGCATTCAGTAGGTCTTTATTCGGTATTCGAATAAAAAGAATTTTTTTTGGTTTAAGAGAAAAGACTTATGATATTAAATTCAACTAGCAAAAATTACACCAATTTTAGGCACATTAAAACGAACATCAGGGTATTTAAGGTATGTTCAATTGTTGTTCTAATTTTTTAAGTTAATTTCTTTTGGATTGTGATTGAGTTGTTGTATTTTCGAAATACGTTGACAAACCAAACTGAATGTAGAGTGGAGCTATAAAATTTACAATATTCTGAAAAATATTAACTAGTTTATTTAATTTTCATTAATGCAATCTGTTACAATGTAGAACAATAAGAATAGTAGATGTAATATTCACATTTATGAAATTTATGATAAATGGTATAACATACCATATTATATACAATGTATAAGGTACAAAAATAATTAGGTATCACTATCTTAAATATTTTATTGAAAATCTAAAGTCAAATTTTAATTCAGCCTTCCCATAAACATATAATTTGACTTTTTTTTAAATCATGAATTTAGAAGATAGTATTTACGATCCCTTTTTTTGGATTTTAGCTCACTGTGCAGCAGCAGTCTTCATTTGTAGCTGGTTGAATTCCAAGTTCTAATTGTTCCTCGAGTGTTTGTTGAGGCTGGTTTATGTTATACCATACGCCGCAAATTTTTTTGTATATCCATTTCACGTTATTTTCGTCCGTTAAGATACACTTTTGGTCAGTTGAGTCAATCTCAAGTTCTTTTGTAAAAGATTGTGGAAATTGTGTACTCAAGTGTAATCCCAGGAAACGACACTTCGGTAATAAAGAGTCATCATTCTCTACATACTCCACAGATCTATCTAAAAAAATTTAATTTGATAATATTAGCATACTAGTTTACTACTTTTCTTTATGAATGGAAAAAAAATAATACAATAAGCATGGTGTCCGTATTGTACGGCCATGTTTTTTGTATTACATGAAAGTACGTGTTAGTAGTTTTAGTTTTTTTGGTTAATTGTTTAAAATGAAAATTGGTTGTATCCTTGTTCCTATTAAATATCTATATATATATATATATATATATATATATATATATATATATATATATATATATATATATAAATATATATATTAATAGCGTTTAAAAACCATACAACTCCACAATAATATTTACCTAATAAACGACGTCTGATTATATTATTTAAAGCTGGAACAAGATATCCTTTTCTCTCGTCTAAAACGCCGTCCAATCTTTTCATACCTATGAAAATAATTATTAAATTACCGTGTTACGAAGAAATAATAAAACAGCCATTATAGGGGGGTCAAGGCATAGTGGGGACGGAGCAAAGTGTGGTCGGGACATAGTGGGGACGGGGAGGTCACAGGTTAACAAGAATTATTACAACTGAAAGTTATTAAATCACTTTACAATAAACGCTTTGATGAGAATCGGTAGTTATCACGGTAACGGTCACATTTAGCCACCCGCTACCACTCACCTCCAAATATGCATTATTAGCAGTTAACCACACTTGAGAGTTAAGTTATTTAAAGGTACGATCGCCTGTTAAGCTCCTTAAATGATGTAGCAAATATAAAAGGAGACTTTAGGGATATATTTTAAGTGTAATTACTGCTTAGCCATCCATCCCGCTAAAGAGACACGTTACAGTATTTTTAAACCAGTTATGTCCAAACCACGCATAGTATAAAGTATAAACCAACATAGTAAGAAAGAATAAAATTGAGGTGCAGTGTTTACAAATTACCATAAAAGCGTTTATTTGAAAGTGATTTTATCACTTTTTTTAATTTCTTTAGACCGGTGACCTCTCCTTCCGCTCTATGCTTTGATTCCATTATGCCTCAAACCTACTGTATTAGTCCTCTCGAATGAAATCACTTACCCCTACACTGCCTTTTTTAATGATTTAAAGTAGTTTTGTTAAAATATACAAAAAATGCAAAAAAACACAGTTTTTCGGCAATTATGAAAAACTGTAGTCCCGAATTTTACTCTCTCTCTCCTCAAAAAAAAGTTTAGTCCGTTAAAATAATTATTTGACATAAAATATTAAATAAATAAAATGAAGCAAGTATTAGCAAGCTTTTAAGTCTATTTACGAAGACCAAAAGATTCGTAATTACCCACATCGTATAATTTCACACTATATCCTGTAACAATTACATTAAACGTCAAATCATTATGCAGTAATTAAAATCCGGTTTACATAGTTTATATATATATATATATATATATGTCATTAACCCTATAACTGATGTTAAATAGATCACTATAAATGAATGCAAAATATTATTGTAAAAATGTTAATTTATATCTTATAGCGATGTTTAAATAAACGGATTAAATTATAATTCGAATGACTTTTAAAACTATTCTTTAAGGCCGCAGCATGGTTTTTTACAAAAAAATATTAAATATAGATATCAATTAAATAAAAAAGCCACTCTATTAATTAAGATTTCTCTATACATGGCGAGAATTTGGTAAGTCTACCCCTTAAGGGGTCGAAGCACGGCTAGTTTTCATGCATTTTAGACCAATAAGCGGTACCAAATTAGACATACTTCCCAATGTTGGATTTTAATTTTTACAGTACGTATGGATTTGTGGACAAATTGTCTAGGTTTCTTAGGAAGCTGATTTACGAATTAAATTTTGGTATGCCTAAAATAAATTAAAATGTAATTCGGGAATTATCACTAAATTTAAAAAAAATAGTAAAAGATAATTTTGGAGGTCTTCAAAAGAGAAAATTGTAAATCGGCTTCCAAAGAAACCTAGACCTCTGTCCACAAATCCATACATACTTTAATAATTAAAATCCAACATTGGGAAGTATGTCTAATTTAGCACTGCTCATTGGTCTAAAATGCATGAAAATTAGTTATGCTCCGACCCCCTTAAGGAGTACACTTACCAAATTCTCACAATGTTTAGAGAAAATCTTTATTAATGGGGTGGCGTTTTTATATTTTTGATATGTAAAATTAATATTTTTTTGTAAAAACGATGCTGCGGCCCCCTTTACTATTTTTTTAATTTTAAATATACCTAATATACGTTCGAAGTCTTCGAGCATTCTTTGAAGAAATATACAGGCTCCTAAAATTTAAAACAAAATACATTTTAATGTACTTACATATTTGTTATGATTGAAACCTATATGTCATAATAGTATTTATAATTAAGTACATATGATTATCCTCAAAGTATTTATAAATAAAAAATATGCAACAAGTACAATAAATATGAAATATAAAAAGGGGTTTTTACTTTGCGTATGAGGAAGAAATGGAAGTTCTGAAATCAAAACAAAAATCTTGTGTGCATAAAGAATATCAAACAACCTTGCCATAAAAAGCAAAATAAAAAATTATTACCCGGTATTCTATAGAGAATTTCAAATTTTCCTGAAATTAATAACACATAAATTAATGATATTGCATTAAATTTTTTATTTTAATATAAACAGGAAGACACATTTCAAGGTAGGAAAAACATGTGTATTAAAAACGTCGAGAGTCTCTTAGGAAAATTCAACAGGAATGATATATTGGAAATATTTTCATAAAATTCAACAAAAACTATTACCCGGTAGAGCTATCAAAAAATTAATTTTGTCTGAAATTAACATCACATAAATTAATGATATTGAATTGGTTTTGTTATCATAAATTATTGGATAAAATTATTATAATGTAAGAGTGTTGTAAGTATAACACTCTTCAATTTTATAAGGATACATTCAAGATGCAGTTCTTATGTTATTTTCAAATATTTTTTTCTACTCTTGTCTCAATGTTTAGTATTATATTATTATGATTACCGAAATTCCCGTAGTTATGTTTATCATTGATATCATCATCAACCATTTTCTCAATCACATACTCCAATGCATCTAGATATATCAAATGAAGATTTTGGCTATACTAATATAATACAAATTAAACCAAATTAGGTGCCATACAAATGTTTAGAATAATATTAAACCCAGCTATGAACAGTTGCCATTTAACTTAACGCTTCTTCTTCGAATAGATTATTAGAAATCACTCATTAGTATATTGTGTTAGCAATATTGCTCTGTACACTGTTCTACATATGTGTTGCACTTTTCTAACTATTGGTAAAAACTATGATTTTTAATTTACTAATAACTTGACAAATAGGTACATACAACAAAGCTTCTAATATGTATTAGTTTATTTTTTAAGTATAATATCTTACTTGCTCCAGTTCTACCTTCTACAGTTAAATCATTCTTTTCAGAAGCAAGCTTCATGGCTTCAGCTGTGATATATAATTTAAACAAATATTTATAAAAACAGTGGATTTTAAAAACTTTAAAACATTTGTTTGTAAAATAAAAATGTTACTGACTTGTCAAGATAGTATACTTCAAATAATTCTCTGTAAAAAAGTGAGATATTGAATTAGTTTTCAAATTTTAACTACCTTAAGTCGATAACTGTGAAAATAAAATAATTACCATCATAATTTGCCAATACATCCACGAAGAAAAAAGATATTAATAAACAAAAGAGTTTCATTTTTATCTGCGAAAAATAAAAACAATAATCTTATAAAGTCATATTTGCCTCCAGTTCAGAGAGGAGTAGGTTATGGTTTTGTGAGGCAGTTTTAATATGATAAATATACGCATAAGCATTTTTTTACTAGACCTTAATATTTCCTAGACCGCTAAATGGTTTTGTATGTACCGGGTGATTGGTTAATTATGGACCACTCAATATCTTAGAAGATATTAGATTTAAAAAAAAAAAACAATGTTATACTATTTTAGTTATTAGTTGGGACAAATTTAATATATTTTTCAAATTTTTAACAACCTTCCCTTATGCGTCAAAACCATATTAACTTTGGATTTTTAAATGGTAACTCCCAAATTTTTCTCTGCAATATACGAGTACAAATTGGTTTTTAGAGTTTTGTTTTAAAATCGTCAAAGATAAAATTAAAAATTAAATACATTTTTTCTTATGTTTGACTTAATTTTTAAAATGAATAACAGAGTTTTTTTTGATAATTTACTTTTTTTCACTGTAAAAAACACAAATGATAAAAAGATAAATGTATATTTTTATACAGGGTGTTTCGACAAATGTAATAACTTTTGTTCTAGTGAATATTTTTCAAAAAAAAAAAAATGTTTTAATTTATTTATATTCATTTGTTCTATAAGCGCCACGTTTTTTATTGCACTTGACTATTTTACTTGTTTTAATTATTTTTATCGTTACATTTTTGTACCTTACATACATACTGCATTGAGTGCAGTAGAGTAAGCCCATAGAGCTATTTCTATCTGTACTAATTACTCTACCGCACTCCACCTCCCATCATACCCTTTGACCTTTGGTAACATAAAAAGTAATTATCCAAATCTGACTACGACCAGTCAAAATTTATCTTGAATTTTTTAATAAAAATCTAACAAAAAAAATTTAAAAAAACAATTAAACAAAGTAAAATAGTTAAGTGCAATAAAAAACGTGTTGCTTGTAGCGCAAATGAGTGTTAAATAATTTATTTTTTATTTATTTAAGAAAATATTTACAATATATGGTAAGTAAATTTGTTAGTTATAATAATAAGTATGTAGGATGGCTTGAAAGGCTTGATAAGGGAGTGATCCGTTAGCCACACCAATTTAATTTCAAAATAAAAATCATAAAAATATATGAGGCGCTCAAAAGTTAAACCGATTAACTCCACTTTTCAAATTGCGTATAAGAGCACGGTTGGATTACAAAAGTTTATAATTTTCACAAGGCCAAGATAAACAACTCCATAGTTGAATTTTTCACCACTAGAGTGTGCTAAGTTTATTGGCCATTGCACTTGCATAGTACATTGTTTCAAATAACTTAAACTGCCTGTCCTGAAAATTTTCATTTTATGGAGTTAATCAATTTAGCTTCTGAGCGCCTCATGTACTAGAACAAAAGTTATTTAATTTGTCTAATCATTTTGGAACACCCTGTATAAATACAGGGTGATCCAACTGATGTATAAAGGATTATGAAATGTATTTAGATTTTCCATCATAACTCATGTATAAAATCTTATTTTCGCTCATGCCTCTATAGTTTTAGCGTAATTACAATTTTTAGAGTTTAATAGAAATACTTACTTTAATTGTAGAGTTGGTAAGAAGTTCTTGGACAACAATCGACTTAGTCAGCTTTTGATACCAAACGTACTACTTGCGACTTATAGGTGGGCTTTTACTTCGACCGAAAAATCACAGTGCAAATATTTTTTTGCACTATGGATATGTTCGTATGTTTACACAACAGGTACATTTTTTTTGTGATTTATCGTCTACGTACAATACTTTAGAAAGCGGAGTTTCGACTATAATATTCTACATGATACACTTTTTTTTAAATTTAATTTTATTATGGTTTTACAAAAACAGTTTCGGCGGTAATAGGCCAAGAGATCTGCTTCAGTGATTCCAAGTAAAAGAAAGTTCTAGCTCTAGGACTTAACCCTCGAGAAACTTCACTGTCTGGCTTTAATTTTGTATTATTAAAAGTTGATTTTACACACTGTAACTTTGAAGATTCGTGTCTTAATACTGTATCACACGAATTTTTCTCATCTATCATTATTCGAAGTAGAAGTTGAAAAATTGATAAAGCGACCTACATTACATTTAACAGGCACGTTAAACTTTATCAACGATAAAGGCATTTACAATGTCAAGGGCAAAGTCGGCTATGAGTCGTTCAGTTTGACTTTTTTCTATGTGTAATAATATTAAGTATAAAAAGCCAGCGCCGTAGGGTCGGACCATAGCGTTACACGTTTTTATTTTTTTTAGATTTTAAAAATCGCTAGACCGATTTGTTCACGACACCAAATTTGTATGGATTGTGATTTAGTTGTTGTATTTTCGATATACGTTGATAAAACCAAACTGAATGTAGAGTGGAGCTATAAAATTTACAATATTCTGAAAAATATTATCTAGTTTATTTAATTTTCATTAATGCAATCTGTTACAATGTAGAACAATAAGAATAGTAGATGTAATATTCACATTTATGAAATTTACGATAAATGGTATAATATATAATATTATATACATTGTATAAGGTACAAAAATAATTAGGTATCACTATCTAAATATTTTATTGTAAATCTAAAGTCAAATTTTAATTCAGCGTTCCCATAAAAATTTAATCATGAATTTAGAAGATATTACTTACGATCCCTTTTTTAGGATTTCAGCTCACTGTGCAGCAGCAGTCTTCATTTGTAGCTGGTTGAATTCCAAGTTCTAATTGTTCCTCGAGTGTTTGTTGAGGCTGGTTCATGTTATACCATACGCCGCAAATTTTTTTGTATATCCATTTCACGTTATTTTCGTCCGTTAAGATACACTTTTGGTCAGTTGAGTCAATCTCAAGTTCTTTTGTAAAAGATTGTGGAAATTGTGTACTCAAGTATAATCCCAGGAAACAACACTTCGGTAATAAAGAATCATCATTCTCTACACACTCCACAGATCTATCTAAAAAATTTTAATTTGATAATATTAGCATACTAGTTTACTACTTTTCTTTATGAATGGAAAAAAAATAATACAATAAGCATGGTGTCCGTATTGTACAGCCATGTTTTTTGTATTACATGAAAGTACGTGTTAGTAGTTTTAGTTTTTTTGGTTAATTGTTTAAAATGAAAATTGGTTGTATCCTTGTTCCTATTAAATATCTAATATATATATATATATATATTAATAACGTTTAAAAACCATACAACTCCACAATAATATTTACCTAATAATCGACGTCTGATTATATTATTTAAAGCTGGAACAATATATCCTTTTCTTTCGTCTGCAATGTTGAGCGCTCTTTCCAAAACTATGAAAATAATTATTTATTGACCGTGTTGCGAAGAAATATTAAAAAAGCCATTATAGGGGGGTCAAGGCATAGTGGGGACGGAGCATAGTGTGGTCGGGACATAGTGGGGACGGGGAGGTCACAGGTTTACAAGAGTTATTACAACTGAAAAAGATTAAATCACTTTCCAATAAACGCTTTGACAACGGTCACAATTAGCCGCCCGTTACCACTCGCCTCCAAATATGCATTATTAGCAGTTTACCACACTTGAGAGTTAAGTTATTTAGAGGTACGATCGCCTGTTAAGCTCCTTAAATGATATAGCAAATATAAAAGGAGACTTTAAGGATATTTAAGTGTAATTACTGCTTAGCCATCCATCCCGCTAAAGAGACACGTTACAGTATTTTTAAACCAGTTAAGCCAAACCACGCATAGTATAAACCAACCCAGTAAGAAAGAATAAAACTGAGGTGCAGGGCTTACAAATTACCATAAAAGCGTTTGTTTAAAAGAGATTTTATCACTTTTATTAATTTCTTTAGACCGGCACCTCTCCTTCCGCTCTATGCTTTGATTGCATTATGCCTCAAACCTACTCTATTAGTCCTCTCGAGTGAAATCACTTTCAAATAAACGCATTGTAGCTTATTTGTAAACACTACAATTATTTCTTACTATGCTGGTTTAGACTTTACTGGTTTGAAAATACTAACTACTGATTCGCATCGAAGCGTTTGTTCAAAAATAATTTTATCATTTTCATTTGTAAATCTGTGACCTCCCCGGCCGCAGAATGTCCCGACTCCACTACACTGCCTTTTTTTATGATTTAATGTAGTTTTGTTAAAATATACAAATCTGCAAACAAATCAGTTTTCCAGGAAATAATGAAAAACTAGTCCCAAATTTTACTCTCTCCTCAAAAAAAAGTTTAGTTCATTAAAATAATTATTTGACCTAAAAAATTAAATGAAGCAAATGAAGCAAATATCAACAAGCTTTTAAGTCTATTTACGACTATCGAAAAATTCGTAATTACCCACATTATTTACTGTCACTCTATCTCCTGTAACAAATATATCAAACATCAAATCATTAGACAGTAATTAAAACCCAGTTAATATAGTTTATATACATTTATATATATATACAACATTCACTCTATAGCTGAGGTTTATTAGATCACTATATATGAATGAAAAATGATATTGTAAAAATGTTAATTTATATCTTATAGCGATGTTTAAATAAACGGTTTAAATTATGTTTCGAATGCCTAAAATAAATTAAAATAAAGTAAAACTTTTGCAGCCTCTCAAGTTACTGAATTTAATGACTTGAAGAAGAGTTTAAACTTCTCATCTAGACAAATAACCGAACTTAAGGCTGAGAACGCTAGCCTTCGTAGATATATTGGAGTTCTTAAGGATAAAGTTAAGCTTCTTGAGTCAAACACTCAATCTCTCTTTTCAAAAACTCAATCTCCTTTGCAGGCGTCTTACGAATCGCATTAGCATTTTCATATGCCTTTAGATTTTTCATTATTTTCTCTGCTGACGGATTATCCAATGTATATATTTTCCAATAAACATCCCCTTCAATACTAATTTTGTTATCTCATCTTCACTCATTTTATCGTTCACTCAACTGCATTCGGTAACAACATTCAG